TAGCCGAGCCGTATAAATAAAAAGGATTGGCAGCAAGCTTCGGTGTAGGCCACTCAGTCAGTCAAGGGTAGTTTATTTAATTTTGAATAATTTTAAAAATATTTTTTTCCTTTTAAAAAGAGTCGAATTGAAAAGAAATTAATAATTATAAACCGTATTTAACGAATTCTTTTTTTAAAACCCTAAATTGATTGATTTTTAGTGTTTAGAAAAACGGATTTGTTTAATACGTTTTTAATTCATAAAATTTAAATTTAAAAAAAATATTTTAAAACGTATATTATAATTACATTTTTAATTAACTAAAAACTATAAAAAATATTAAAGAACGTATAATTATTATACGTTTTTAATGAAATTTTCTAAAAAAAATAAAAATAAAAACGTATTTTGTAAATACGTTTTATAATTAAATAGCTATAAAACGTATTCTATGAATACGTTTAACAATTGAAATAAAATCACAGGTCTTCTTCTTCTTCCCCATTTCATTTGCGCGACTGAACCTCATTTTCTTCAGAAAAATTGCAAGAACTTATCGGAAAAAAAAAAACTCGATCCAATCGCCACCCCGACGTGAATCGACAACAACAACACGAACCTCATTTCCGGTTAAGTCATTCGCACATGGTATATTGGTTTATCTCAACTTTTGACATTGTTTGGAGTTGTTTGAAAATTGGTAATTGTTATAGTATATTTAAATGTGGTGGTGTTTGAAGATTGTGAATTGTTAATTGTTAATTGTTTATCGATTATGTGTGTATGTTGAATTGGAGATTAGAATTTTGTTCTAAATTGTCAATTGTGTATCGGTTGGTTGTTGTTGGGCTTAGGGTTTTTTAAAATTAAGGTTAGAATTAGAATTAGGGCTTCCAATTTATTCGAAATATAGGTAAATTGTATGTTATTGTTGGATTATGGGTATTAGGGTTTTGGAGGATTAATCGATTGGGAATATTTTTTTTTGGTTTTTTCGTTAGAGTAAAAAGATGGGTTTAAAGAATAGTTGAATTTTTGGGTGTTGGATTACACATTATGTTTTGTTGTAATTGGGAAGAATTGAAAGTTTTTGTTTGCAACAGGTATAAATGGCGTATTGTGGTCCGTATTTTGTTAATTTGTATTGGCGATTTGCGAGGGAACAGTTAAGAGATTTTGTTTCATTTATGGATAGTCCGGATGGTTCATTTGTTATTACGGGGAGGATATCATATGAACAATTGGTATAGATGATTAATGAAAATTGTCGGTTTGGAGAAGGTTGGACAATTCAAGCGATTACTTTAATGTTTCGTCAACGCGATGGTTCGTGGACTGCCGGAAGACTCGATAACGATAGTGCTCTTGAGTGGATTTATTTATCTCCTTCTATGTCCGTTGTGTATTTGCATTTATCGTTGGAGGCAATTACACCGGTCACACAATTTGAGGATTTTACTCCTTATTACGGGGGAATGGATGAGGGCACGTCGACTTGTCATCTATGTAATTTTGGAGAAGGTACAAGCTCACCAATTAGAGAAAGGGCAAATGATGACGGGGAAGAAAGTGACGAAGAGTTTGCACTCGGTGAAGATGATTTCACAGACGAAACCTCAGAAACTGAATCAGATAGATCGGTGAATGAGGAGAGTGAAGCCGAGTTCATTGAAGAAGAATTCCCCTTTCCTAGTGGTGGTCGGCACGTATACCGCAAGATGGGTGAATGGGAGCCGTCTAGGATAGATGAGGACGAGTATGTTATTCCACGCTGGAATGGCGACATTGAGACCATATGTTTGGGTATAGTTTTTCGGAGCAAGCAAGAAGCCCAAATGGCTTTAATGGGTTGGAACGTCGATAGATTGCGGGAGATTCGGGTAAATGATTCAAATCAAAAGTCATACAAAATGGTCTGCAGATCTAGTGAAGATCCGCCTTGTGTGTGGAAGGCTCGAGTGACTAAGTCCAGGCGGGTTCATGAAATGTGAGAACTAACTGAATGGACTGATAGACACACTTGTATGCAACCGGTCGAGAGAAATGACCACAAAAATGTAACCGCCCAAATGATTTCAAATCTCATTCATAATAAGCTTCGAAAGAAAGTTGAGTACGGCGTCGACATGATCCAGGCTGATGTGAAACAGTGCTGGAAAGTGGATGTCAGCTACAAGAAGGCATGGCACGGAAGGAGAAAAGCCATCGAGAGTGTGTATGGCACTTGAGAATCGAACTTTGCAGAACTCCCTCGGTAAGAAAAAATTAATTACAAATATATGTGTTGTTTGTCTGTCGCTATGTTCATCTATTTATTATGAAACTGTTTTGTAATGTGTAGGTATTTTGCCGCGCTTCAAAGAACGAATCCCTCCACAGTTGTAGAGTGGGAGTGGCAGGGTGGGGAAATGGCGCGACAACTTCGAGACAGACAATTCAAATTTGTATTCTGGGCGTTTGGTCCCGCCATTCAAACTTTTCAAATGTGCCCGCCGGTTATTAGCGTCGATGACACACATTTGCGTGGATCCTACAAGGAAAAATTGCTTGTGGCCACGGCACAGACTGCGAATAAGTGTCTATTGCCAGTCGCGTATGCGCTTGTCGATGAAGAAAGCACGGACAGTTGGTCATTTTTCCTTAGGAATCTGCGACAATATGTAGTCTTCCAGAGACGGATCTGCGTTCTTTCCGACAGGGATGCGGGCCTACTCAGTGTCATTGAATCATTAACAGATTGGCAAGAACCCGCTGCGTATCACCGGATTTGCCTTCAACACCTTCAAAGCAACTTGATAGGTTTATTTGATGTATATAGAAAGTTGGCTCCACTATGTAGCCAACTGTTGGCTCCATAGCAAAACCGTATTTTATATGCAGTGTATTTGAAAAAATCATGAGCTAAATTATATCTTATTTTGTTAACTTACAAGTGTCTTCTAACTTATCTCAAAAGCGTTTCTATGTTGTGTTTCAAATAAACTAATTATAACTTTTAATTCAATTATCTTTTCAATTAATTTTATTAAATATTTTTTGTTATTCGTTAGCTTTCCAATTATATACATAAGCTCATTTTAAAATCAACTGACTTTTTTAACTACTTTATCAAATAATTTTATTACATATATTAGCTTTTCAGTGATGTAAGCTCGAAATTAATTTATGGCTATCACTGAAATTATCAAGTATCAATTGTCTTACCCTAATCAAGATAAAAGAACAATTTAATATTCAGTATTTGAAAATTACCGGCACTTTCACTCCTTTAATTACATCTACAACTTAGAAGGATAATAGGTGTAATTATTAGAAAATGAGGGTCCGATTATCAATTAATTAATATAAATGTGTACTAAGTATTGATTATAAAAAAGATTATTTGGGGCCCACACGGTAATAACGGGATTATCTATTTGGGGGAAACACATGAGGCTCGACACCACTGTCCCCTCACAAGTTAAGATTAGATTCTAAAAGATACCATCATTTGCAATCATTTTTACTCGGGATTAATTATGCATAGGTTGGGTTTATTAACTATTTTATTTTTTCAATTTATTATTATATACTTTTTTCATATATTCACAATATATGTTTAACAATATACTTTTGTTCAACTTCTCTAATCATGTCTCTTTGGCGAGGCAAAGACATTGTTTAAAAGGCGAACAATTGATTCAATTAGCCAGTGGACTCGTTTCAATGTTAGCAGATTAATGTGAAATAAGTGGATTGAACCTTATATAGCGGTTTGACCCATTAAATTTGTTAACAATTTTTTCTAATAAAGAATTTATTTGATTCGCGTTTTGGCCGAAAAATATTAATTTTTGAAAATGTTCAATATAAATTCATTTAATTTTGAGAAGAGAGGAGAATTGATAGAATAACAATTAAATATAAAATTTTCATAATAACATTATAAATCACTATTTACAAATATCTAATACAATCTGATAGTCAAATAAGTTATTAGCCATCAGTTATATGCTAATATAATCAATTATCCGCTATGTTAATACTTAATACCTAAAACAAGGCCAATATCAAACGACTTATTAGTATTTTTTAGCAGTTGATAAGCACAAGCACTTGGTCTATTTGATATGTCAAATAAAAAAGTACAATTTTTTTATTGATAAAAAACTAATATATCATTTTTTTTTTCAAATTAGCCTTTTGGATTTGAAAAGGTTATTTCAAATCACTACCTACCAAACAACAAAACTATAAGTGAATAAATATGATGCACAATTTAAAATTTTCGTTTGTACATTCGTTTGCAATATTCGAGCTTTTAACTATTTTGCAAATCGAAACACGTAGTTAACTGTTAAAATCTTAGATGTTTGTATCCTTATATGATGTGTAGAAAGAAAGAACGAATATATCGAAAATTCAAAAGTTAATAAAAGAAAAATACACCACATTTTATAAGAAAAATTTAGACTCTCAAAAACCCGATATTTAGTATTTTTGGAAAATTGAAGAATTTTAAATCCTTAATTTATTCATGTGTCTTTGAGAGTGAATGTCTAACATATCTAAATTTTCTATTAACAAAATAATTTGAATCGAACACACCAAAGACAATGAAAATCCCAAATTCTAGGTGTGTAAAATAAAAAATTCAACCTCAATCCTAATTTTATTTTCCACTTGCAAAAATAATCTTACTTTTCTCAAGCTAAAAAGTTAAGATTAATAAATTACAAACAGAATTAAAATTCTATGATTTAATTTGAAATGCAGCCTAACATTTAACATTAGATAAACCCACACTAAACTCTAGTATTATTCCCCCCTTACCCGACATTAAATCAAGGATTACAAACTAATCACAGTTTTAAACCATGGTTTAGCTTCCGTACATCTAAGCCTGCCACGTGTCCCGTCACACGCGTCTCCTCCAGTCCTCCTTTCCTCCACCACCGGCCTATTTATTCACCCCCTTCTGCAGACACTTTCCCCCTCTCTCTCTCTCTCTCTCCCTAAAACACTTTCTCTCTCTTACCTCAAACAGTTTCACACTCCGACGAGCATTTAAGCTCAGCCGTCTGTAGCTTAATTTTTTTTCTTTCCCGATCAATTAGTGGGTTTTTTTTGCTTGCCGTGTCCTTGTCGAAATACACGCAGGGTATTTCTGTAATTTCACACATCCAGAGCTTCCGATCGGGAAAAATGGCGTCCGCCGACAACTTGACGGCGATGGAGCAGCCGTGGGGTTTCCGGCCGACATTCACCGACGCTTGGGTTTCGGATGTCTACAACAGGGAGACGGACGCCTTTAAGAGGGCGCTGCAAATGTCCGACGGCGGCGGCGCCGCCGCTGCCGAGATGGTGGAGTCCTTCCTCGTCGCGCCGGACGCCGCGCCCATCTATACGCCGACGGCATCCGGCTGCTCGGAGAACGAGGTCTCCGCCGCCTGCGGAGGCGGTGCGTCGGGTCCTCGCCGTGGGCCGCCGCCGGCCGGAGGGAGGGTGGCGAAGCGGAGGTCGCGTGCGTCGAAGAAGAGGTCTGCGACGACTTTCATCGCGGCGGACGCGGCGAACTTCAGGCAGATGGTGCAGCAGGTGACCGGCGTGAGGTTCCCCGGCGCCGTCGAGGTGATGCCGCCGATGCCGGCTCAGATGTTAAGGCCGGAGCCGCACAGGATGGTGGATCGGATTCAGATGGGTGGCTTTCAGCCGGCGTTCGGCGCGTCGAGTTTCCTGGCGGACGGCGCCCCCTCGAACCTGGTGGTGCCGCCGCTCCCGGCGGCGAGGCACGACGGTGGCGGGCTGGAGTTCGACCCGTATTGTAGCTTTCCGACCCTCGAGTCGTGGAAGGTGATGTAGTAACTTCATGATCATGGGGTGAGTTGTAATAGCACTTAATTTCAGTTTTCAAGAGCTCTGTTAATTTTGTTTTCTACTTGTTTTTTGGCTGTTTGTGTGCAAGAAGCGTAGGGGTAGGGGTAAAATGGAAACGGCTCTGTTTATTATTATTATTATTATTAATTTGCATTTTTGTATGATGAATTAATGTGATCTAAGTAAACAATTGGGTCGAGTTTAATTTGTACGAGCAAATCGATTCGAGTTGTATCCGCAGGTATCTTAATTTGTTTATTGATTATATATTGCATGTGAAATTAAAGGGTCTTGGAGATAAAATTCATTGTCATAAGATTTTAATCCCAAATTAAAGGCTCTGTTAATTTCATTTTGGCATGATTTTTTTTACTATATAGTGCGAAAATTATCTCATTGGGCATTTTAGTTGACCCTGTTTTCCTTGATAAATAATTTTTTTATAGTTAAAAACTTTAAATGATTGAAATAACATCGTGTGTGATTGAGATTAACAATTTTTTTTAATAAAAAAAATTACATGTTTATTTAAATGACCAAATTTAGAGGATAAAAAATATTTTTTTACCCTCAAATTTGTACTCTAGCCTTAAAAAGTTCGACATGTGTTGGTTTAATATAATGTGCTCCCTAAGAACAATAAGAAACATTTTTGTACACCGTTGATAACACGAAGTACAGGAAGAATGAAACCAAGTTAAAGTTATCGAGTCTAACCTTGCAATTTTCTTCAAGGTTTAAATTTTGCTATTGATATGATATGCGATGAATTTAGTTTGAGAAATTTTCATTAATTCTCCGGGTGAAAAAACATTAGACATTCCATCTTCTGAAACCAAGACCTTTGATGTTATTTGACGTACAATAATTTCTATATGCCTATTATGAATCCGCACCCCCTGGGATCGATAAACTTTTTGGATCTTATTAACCAAAGAGATACGACTTTGCACGATAGTGAGCTCAGCACCAATCAGGAATGTCCACGGCATTTCAAGAATTCTTGTTATACGCTCGTTCCAGCCCTCAACCCTCTTTTCTAGATTCATCGATATTGAATCAATCGAACGCACTTTATCCCTAAAGATAGGGTGTCCTAACCACCCAACCGCTATTCCATCTCCGTTATCCATTGAGCCTGCCCTTTTCATTCTAAAACCAATTGGCAATAGAAGGAGTAGCCCACCAAACTTATATATTGAACTTGGAACCTTTAATTTTCTGATGTGGGATTGAGTTTGCACACCCTACACCAATTTGATTGATTGGTATTTATTGTATCATTTAGACGAGAATTCACAATTTTCCCATGTTCAATTAAGTTCGGAGACGTATTGCTTCTGGTACCAATTCGATTGATTAGCATATTATTTTTTTTTTCCAACGACAAACACAAATTTTATAGCAAACAAAGAAATAGCAGATTGTACATACTACAGGTTCCAGTGCCAAAGCACTCTATCCAAATAGCTCGGTTGGATGATCACATCCTTCCTAACAATAATACAGACAACACAAATACATACTAAACAATACTGGAGCACTGAGAAGAAAAGACACAAGAAGTAAATGATCTTGCCAACAAAACAATATCTTCAACTAACAAGTTAAGCTGAAAACTAGCTCCTCTCTTTTTATCAAGAAGCTTGATAATTTCCTTGTGGTTGTAGCAGCACTCAATATTCAGCCATCCTTCCTTCAAAGCCTGTTCCAATGTCTATCTGATGGCCATTAGAGCTATGCTCTCACTATTCCCCCCACAAGAAATCTCTTTATCCAGCCTCTTGATCACTTGATTCTGTTGAGTTGCCACAACTCTGAGATCAATCAGTCCAGTGTTGGAATTGGAAGCACTGACATTAATACACAAATGTCCTACCCCGATAGAAAAACTTCCTTCACTCTGACATCTCTCTCTTCCTATGCCTGAACTCTCACCAATCCCATGACCACAAATATTCCTAAACTCAAGCCATTCCCTCTTAGCCCCTTCCACCAGTTCCTTTTCCTGACCCCACTTTTTCATAAACACCCAATTATTTCTAGTCTTGCACAACCACCACATTATGTAAGAAGATAGACTTATTCTGTCCATGATGGCTTTAGAAGACTTTGCAGGCTGCAGCACATATATTGTCCCACCAGTTCTGAAAGGAGCAGTTGTGAAATTGCATTTCCTCTCAGTAAATCCCCCTCAACTTCCAGCATACTCTTGCCCTTTCACATCTAAAAAGCATGTGGTCTAGGTCTTCCTCATCATTCCCACAAATTTCATAAATTTCATCCACTTGCATTCCTCTCTTCTTCAACTGAGCCTTTGTACTGATGATATTAAACCAGAGCCTCCACAGGAAATTTTTTACTTTGTTCTTGATTGGAAGCTTCCAGGTAAACCTCCACATTTTCTGCTGTCTCTCCATGTTGGAGCATGATGCTGCATTTCTCATGGCTTGTTGGCTCTGACTCAGGAAGATTGAATAGGCAGATTTGACTGAAAATTTGCCTTTGTAATCATGCACCCATACAAGTTTTTCACATTGGCTCCTCACTGAAATGGGAATCTGTACAATGAGGTCTGCATCCCTCTTATTAAATGTCTGCTTGATGAGGTCTATGTCCCATTCTCTCCCATTGGGCTGCATCAAATCTTTTACTGTCCTCAGTCTTTCTCTATCATTCTGAATTTGGCACTCAGGTATGAAGTTAGGATTAGAGAAAATCCAAGGAGAGTCCCAAATGTGTATACTCTTCCCATCTCCTACCTGATAGCAACATCCTTTTTTAAAGTTCTCTCTAACCCCCATCCAGCTCCTCCATAGCCATGAATCTCCGTGCTTAGGCTCAACAGTAAACAGATTTTTCTCACTCAAGTATTCTCCTCTAATGACTTGACTCATCAACAAGGTAGGTTGGGTTAAAATTCTCCAAAGCTGTTTTGCTATCAGGGTATTATTAAACACCCTGATATTTCTAAAACCAAGTCCACCTTTGTCTTTGGGTCTAGCCACTAGATCCCAAGCAAGCCAGTGAATTTTCCCTTTCCCTTCCATCATTCTTACCCCACCAAAAGTCAGATTTAATGCTGTATATTTCCTCACATGTGCTCACTGGGATTTTAAAACAGGACATTACATAGGTCGGTAGAACATCCAGAATAGTTTTGATTAAAATCTCTCTCTCTGCCTCACTTAAAAAGTTGTTTCCAATTAGTGGATTTCCCTCTCACACACTCAACTATATACTTAAAGGTATCTCTCTTGTTTCTTCCAATACCCAGGGGAAGCCCTAGATATTTGGTTGAATTGACAGTCGAGATCCCAGTAAGAATATTGTTGATTTCAGCCTTGGTTCTCACAGATAGATTCTTAGAAAAAAAGATTGAGGATTTAGACAAATTCACTTGTTGCCCAGAAGCAGAACCATACAAATAAAACAACTTAAGAATAAGATGAGCATGAAATGAGTCAGCTTGGCAAAAAAGAACAACATCGTCTGCAAAAAATAAATGGGAGATAGCAGGAGCATGTCTACCCACTTTCAAACCTTTAAACTCAACTCTAATGGTAGACTGAACAAGAATATTGGACATAGCCTCAGATAGGATTATAAACAGATAGGGAGACAGAGGGTCTCCCTGTCTGATTCCCCTTAAAGGGGTTAAATAACCCAGAGGCTGGCCATTGACATTGAAGGAAAAAGAGATGGTTTTAACACAAGTTAAGATCCAATTCACAAAAGTGGCACAGAAACCCATAGTCCTACAGACTCTACCCAAGAATTCCCACTCCACCCTGTCATATATGTTTTGGCCATATCAAGTTTCACAGCCATGTACCCTTTTTTTTCCTTTTCTTTTGCTATTAAGATAGTGAATGCACTCATTGGTAATTACTACATTGTCAAGAATTTGTCTATCAGGGACAAAGGCAGACTGGAAGGGAGATATACAATTGGGTAACACTGTTTTCAATCTATTTGCCAAAATTTTAGCAATCAATTTATAAGTCACAGTGCAAAGAGCAATAGGTCTATAATCTGCAGGAGTTTTGGGGTTAGGAATTTTAGGAATAAGTGTAAGAACAGTGTGATTTATTTCCTTAGGCATTCTACATCTATTAAAGAAATTTTTAACAGCAATAATCAGGTGATGCTTAAGAATATCCCAGGAAGTTTGATAAGAGCAAGTGGTCATACCATCAATACCAGGGGCCTTGCAAGGATCCATGGACATAAGTGCAATCTTCACTTTCTCCTCCTCCACATCTCTGATTAAATCAACATTCATCTCATCTGAAATGGATACTGGGATTCCATCTAGAGGGCAAGCTTCAAGGACAGGGTTAGAAGTGGCAAATAGAGCACCAAAATAACCCATTAGCTCACAGACAATATCCTGCTTAGAGGAACAACTAAAACCATCAGCCTTAGATAAATTCTCAAGACTATTCAAATACCTCCTTTGCTTCACAGAAGCTTGGAAATACTTGGAGTTCTTGTCCCCTTCTCTCAGCCAAAGCATTCTGGATTTGTTCCTCCAAAAACTTTCCTCATCTTGGTAGGCTTGATGCAATTGAATTTTACAGTTGAGCCATGCCACCCAATCCCTGTTACCCCCCTGCATTTCCATGTTTTTCAATTTATTTTTGCAAACTGTAATGACTAAAGCAGAGTTAGAAGTATGAGATTTCTTCCAATTAAGAATAGCCATCCTGACATTTTTAACTCTCTTCTGAATAGAGTACAGTAATGGTCCTTCCACAGACAGATCCCAAGCATTTTCCACAATATCACTGTATCCTTCCATTTTGGTCCATCTACTATAAAAAAACAAATCTCTTAGGTTTAATCACAGAGGTATGATCACTCTCCAAAGCAAGCATATTGTGGTCAGAAGAAAACAAAAAAATGTGCTTAACACGGGCATTTGGAAACATAGAGAGCCAGTCCTGAGAGAAGAAAAGCCTATCAAGCTTGGCTTCAATGAAATACTCCCCCTGCCTATTGTTAGCCCAAGTGAACACATGACCACTCGTTCTAGTCTCACTCATCCCCATATTTCTAACAAAGTTTCTAAACCCTCTAAAACTAGACTCAACTCTAACTCTCCCCCCTTTCTTATCCTGATGATGAAGAATGTCATTAAAATCTCCTCCCAAAAACCAAAGATTACCCCACCTCACTCTAAGGTTCTGAAGCACATCCCACTGAAGCTGTCTAACCTTATGGTTGACACTGGCATAGACAAAAGTTCCCCACTGAATGAGAGGACTACCCCTAACACAGAACTGGACTTCAATACAAAAATCAAGAAAGGACAAACTAATAATATCAATATTACTAGACCAATAAAGCAGCATTCCCCCTTTAGTACCACAAGGAGGCACATAAAAGCAAAATCCTGAATTTTAAGCTTTTTACAAACAGTTAAAACAAATTTTGGTTTTTTTTTTTGTTTCTGAAAGAAACAAAAAATCTGGGAGGTGAACCCTTAGGGTTTCTCTTATCTGGGAAATTGTAGAGGGCCCTCCCAGACTTCTACAATTCCACACACATACTTTCATTGGGCACTTTGGGACCAGTTACGGTTGGTTTCCTCCACCTCATTAATCCTCAGACAATCAGATAATTTCAGTTTTTTCTTATTCAAATTTAGCTCAGATTCTACTCCATTATCAACTGCAAGATTCTGAAAGGATCTCTTATTGACACTTTTAATAGTTTCCTTAGCAATCAGATTAATTCCAGATTTGTCTATTTGCATAGACTCACTTCTATTAACAGGCCCATTTTTAGGTTTTCTAACATAAGAACTCTTTTTCCTGAGACCTATCTTATCCCCCATAGAGGCATGTTGAATATAAACTTCTACCAAATGAGAGCTGGTAGGGACTGCCTCAATCGGTTTAACAGTATCAATAGGCATTTCTTCCTCTATGACATTCATCCCAATATGTTTGGGCTCAAGAGAACAAAGATGATCTTCTTTCCTAGACTCTTTACTACTCTCCACTCTCTCTTCCTTAGGGGTTATCCTTACATTCTAACTTGGGATACCCAATAGGCTCAAATGAAATTCAGGACTAGAATTTTTATTAGAAACATCCACACTAGGGTCACCTGATTGGGCTGTTCTAGAGGTTCTAGGACTTGAGAAGGCTGAGCTCGAAACTCTCAACCAGTCTCCATATTGCCCTTTGTTAAGCATATTTTTAGAGACATCTTCTTGTTTGATAGGACAAGATTTCTCACTATGTCCTATCACACCACGATAAAAACAGAAGGCTTGGAGGTTTTCATACTTGAAATCAACCCATTTTCTTTCTTCTCCCACTTTAATGTTGGTTCCCCGCAAGAGTGGATTTTTCAACTGAATTTCCACCAAACATTTAACCACTTTACCATTAAGAAGCCCAACCCCTGGCACCCCAACATTTACCACACGACCTATCTTCTTTCCAATTTTCATACCTGCTTCTTCAGAAATCCAGTGGAGAGGTAGGTTATGTATTAGCACCCAAAGCTTAATAACATCTTCTGCATCGGTAAACTCTGTGTTTAGTGGGTTCCATTCCTTAAGCAAGATATATTGTCCATCAAACGTCCAGGTTTTGCCCTTTAGAATTCGCTCTTTATCTTCTACCAGCTGGAACAGAAATTGGTAGTGGTTTGGGCCTAGGCTGCGTACCGAGAACGGTTGCTTTGTAACCCAGATTCCACTCAGAGTCGTTTTCAGTCCACTCAAATTGGCTTTTTTGTCTCCAAAAATCTTGCCTATCAGACTCTTCTGGCATTAATGAAGCCCTGGTGCTATATCTTCAACCAAGAGTTCCACTTCTTCCTCCTCCTTGGCAGAGATCTTAAATTTTTGGAGCTGATCTGTTATTTCTTGATCCATGGACCCTTATCAACACCCCTGCAGAAGGCAATCCTCAAGGAATCTAGAAGGAAAGGGTTAAAGCAAAGAAACCAAGAATAAACAGCACAATCGAAACAAAATGTAAGGCAATCAAGATCTACAGCACAGGAAAAGCAAAAAGGAAACTACTGAAAATCCTAATATGGCCAAAGCAAGACACCTAAAGAGCTAGCAGGCCCCTAAGGAAACCCTAACACCTAACGCAACACCCCCTACAGCCCCAACAATCCAACAAATATAACCGAAAGTGAAGAATCCATTAGAGAACCAAGATTAGAAATCCAATTTCCGGAACTGAGATCTCAAAAAGAAAAAAAATCGCCACCCGAGCGAACTTGAGGGCAGTGAACACATGTTGGCCTGACTACATTACGATTAGCATATTATTGACCATCCTTTCTTTCGACAATAATACGCAATTTCCTATATTCAGTTAAGTTTGAAGACGTACTTGCTCTGATACCAATTCGATGAGTAGTAGTATGTTACTATTTCTTCGTATGAGCTATCACATTTAAGTAATAATAATAATAATAATAATAATAATAATAATAAGAATAAAAAATAATAATAATAATAATGAAACTTTGTATTCAATCAAATTAAAAATCATATAATACATCACATAAGAAGAATTTTGTCGTCCATAATTTTGTTTGATTAGTATGATATCGTCGGTTTCTTCGTGTACGCTATCGCAATTTTGCCTTGTCCCTTTCCGGTTGACTTGACCAATACTTTTCTGTTATTACGTTGGTGAAAAACAAATCTATACTTATATTAAAAGGGGTACTATTTATCAAATTAAGTAGCAAGAAAAGTCAACAGCATTTATTGCATTACTATTTTCGTATTATACTATATAAAAAGATATTCTATTTACTATATTTACTATCTAGAAAAGTCAACTGCATTAAATGTCATTACTATTTTGGTATTATAATATTTTATTTATTTAATTGATTTATTTATTTATTTTATTTTAAAAGGGTAAGTATAATAAAAAGATTTTAATAATAAATAAATCAAATACCAAATAAAAATGTACACTTTGAGTTATTTGATTATATTTGGTATTTGATTATACCAAATATATTCTTATTTAGTATACATTAAATACTTGCTAAGGTATTTATTTTATTTTATTTGTCAAAGTTAAATATAGATTTGTTTATATTATCAAATCATAAAAAATATTAAATCCATATTGTAAAAAAAAAAATTCATATAATTTTATAACAATTCTACTACACTATTTAACAATATAACTTTTTTATTATATAATAAAATAATAATAAAATATTATATGGTAAACAACAATAAGTAAAACTATTACTTTCTCTTATATCAAGAGATAAATTTATATGCTAAACTTAAATTTTTATTAGTATAAATATTTTAGTGAGATAATATATTAATTATTTTACAAGCTAACCCTAACATGCTCATATTTAATGTATTAAAAGATGTAGAAAAAAAACTTATAATAACTCTATTGTTTTTTAAACTTAAACGTTGATTAAAAGAGGTAAAAATTCCTAATTTTTAGACTTAAACGTTGATTAACACCATAGATTGAGAGTTTATATTTAGTAAAATTCCTAAGTGTAATAAAAAAATTAATTTTTGCTATATTTTAGAATATATTTAAATTCATTATAAAAAAAAGAAAAAAAAAACTACAATGAAAAAAGCAAGTCAGCTATATATCGATTTGTTGTACTCCTCAAATCACATTCACAATTTGGCTACAAGGAAAGGAAACTCATTGATTAAAATATTATTTTGTCAGTAGTCTTAATGTACAAGAGACTTTAAGACTCCACTTGAATATTATAAAACTTTTATTGAACATTGTACAATTTCTTGCGTATTATAAACTTTTATTGAATATTGCATCTTATAATATAATATTTTCTAAATAAATATATCTCGTGCTTCGCACGTACTATATATATCCAGTACATTTTTCCTTATTCATGTATATAATTATAAGTCTGGATAAATTGCCTTAAAATTGTGCACCCCGTGCATCGCACGGGCTCTGTACTAGTTTAATTAATATTGGACCTAAATTTCTAAGAAATCGCAATATCGAAATTGACAAAGCATCTAGTTTTATGGATGTAGCAGTTTATTTTAGTTTTATTTTATTTTACAAAAGGAAGAAACTTGCAAAAACATGCTCAGTTGGATTTTAGAGCATTAATGATATTTTTGAAAACATTGTAATGATAAATTTACTAATTTTGTACTTTCATTGTTTGTATGATGGAGGGATTGCAATAATATTGTAATAAGAGGTATAAACTTATTAACTTCGAGCTCCTGGTTGTAAGCTTGAGCTTTTATCGAGCCTAACTTTTGATCAACCGAGTTATTTGATTATATATGCTCGTTTATCAAATGAATCAAACTCAAATTTTAAAATGTTTAGCTAAAATTACGAGTAGCCCGTTTCGTATAATTTAACTATATGACTATGAATATTAATTATCTGTTGAAAACATACATCCACCGTATCAGATGACGTGTGTGTACTTAGAAATTGCAGTAACCACTGATATTTTCACATAACTCTCTATCATCCGACGGGCTGTATTCAATGTTGACTTTTGCCTTCTAGAAGATTGAGGGCTGTTTTGTTATATGTAGGGGAGTGTTTGTCTTTGTACACCAAGATAACTATGTCGACAAAATGGTAACATACTAACATATAAGCCTGTAAACAAGCTGAGTCGAGCTTGAACTTATGGTGCTCGAGCTCAAGTTCGAGTCCTTAACGAATTGAGCCGATATCAAGCTCGAGCCCTTAACGAGCTGAGTCGAGCTCGTCTCGTCAAATAAACGAGCCAGAAATTGAGCTCGAGCTCGGCTCGTTAAGGCCTTGAACTCGAGCCGATCTCGAGCTTTAACGAAGCGAACTATAAAAATAGTATATAAAAATTCTCTTTTTGAGTCTTAACAAGACTTATCAAGTCGAGTCGAGTTTGGCTCGTTAATCAAACAAGCTTTAAATGAGCTCGAGCTCGGCTCGTTAAGACATCGAACTCGAGCCGAGTCGAGCCAGACTCGTTTAATTAACAGCACTACTAACATATATAACATAATGAAAAAACAAATCATTTTGGAAAAATATTTGACATATGAAAATTATGTAATCGGATCATTTTGTAACTTTTGAAGTGTGCCACATAATTTTTTGAACATAAATTGTGGTTAAATGAGTTGAATAATTGAAATTGAAAAAAAAAATCATATTTTCGAGTCTTAAGTTCGAGCGCAAATTATATTCTTAACTAAATAAAATTTAAATTAGTTAAGCCAATTAATCAAATTCACGAACGGCTCATTTTGTTTAGCAACTATACTTATAGTATCTATTTACTCGAATAAAACCCTTTTTACTAGTGAATACATTCAAATCTTTCTTCCAAATTCTTTAGAGCATCTACAATGTTTTGGGTTCAATCCCAAAAAATTACATGCCACATAAGAAATAGACTCAGTCCAAAAAAATATATTCTCCAATGCAAATAAAAGTAGACTGGGTCCTGCTGATGCGGCAGCCAGAAAAAGAGACCCGGTCTCCCCTTAAGTCCATTTTAGACTCAAGTAGAGACCTAGTCTCTTTGCATTGGAGTGAATTTTATTAATTTTACATAATTTTATCCACGTCATCTAAGACTTGAGTTTATTTACTTGCCACATAGGCAAGACATTGAAGATGCTCTAAGCATTCACGTAGTGAGTTGTTTGCCTCAATGTGTTGACTGTGGATAAACTTAAATTGACATGGTCCAATGTGAACTGAAATTGTTAAAAGATTAATGGCTTTACACAAACTCAACACAATTTTT